AGGCTCTGATGCAAATATGAAGATCTGGATACTGAAGCTATTGAGCCAAAATCCATTTATTTTATTAAATACCTCCACTGCAATCCAGGAGAACTTGGAATTTCTCCAGAAGAATGATTTCACCAACCATGAAGTTCTACAGCTGCTGTCCAAACTTAAAGGTTTCATTTTTCAACTTACTTCTACTACTATGCAGGAGAGTATGCTTTTTTCCAAAAATGTCTTTAAGTGCAGTGATCAAGAACTGAAACAGCTCGTGCTGAAATGCCCAGCCCTTCTCTACTATTCTGTTCCAGTTTTGGAAGAAAGACTTGAAGGACTACTGAAGGAAGGAATTTCTGTAGCACAGATTAGAGAGACACCAATGGTGCTGGAGTTGACAACGCAAATTGTTCAGTACAGAATTAAAAAACTCTCTGCTTTGGGATATGATCTAAAGAGTGGAACTCTAGAAAGCTTGAATGGTACTAAGAAAGAGTTTGAAATCAATTATGGTAAGATACAATCAAAGAAGGAGAGACCAATTTTTAATCCTGTTGCTCCTATACACATTGAAGATTAATTTGAGTGTTGTACTTCAAATTATGCAAAAGAAACTTATCAAAGAGAAAAGACATGTTGGCTCTTTGAGAAGAGCCAAAACCAAAAGCGATCTTACCCAGATTGTAGTCTTACACTGTACTTTGTCCTGGAGTGGGGTCTTAGGCACAACTTCATTATACAGTTGTAGCTTTCCAACGCTTTCAAATAACATCACAGAACCTGGTTGTGATAAAGGTTGCCTTTTTTCCCCAGGGAGTACCTCACGTGGTTTTTTGGTTCTGTTACATTTCCTTATCTAACAAGGCATTAACTGCTTTGGATTTTAGCTCTGCCACTGCACACTCCAGCCCGTGGTAGTGATTAGCATGGTCTTGAGCACAGAGAAAGAAAAAAGGAAGGTTATTTTCCACAGCATTGTTCATCAGCACACTGGTTCACTGACTTTGAGACTCTTTTGGAACTCCATTCCTTATCGCTGCAGTAAGTAGCTCTAGCTCCCAGATCCTGACCTGCAACAGACTCAACTGCTTGGATGGGAAAGCCTAGCTAGAGCGCAGCCTAAGAACAGGGGCAGGACCCAACATTTTTTTATTTAGTGACTGCCATAGTGAGGCCCTGGTATGTTTGTGTACAAACCATAGTGCAAAGAAACTACAAGACAGCCTCCTTTACATTTCTGAGACTTCAAAATTCACTCCTTTTGCAAAGGGTTTGGGGCAGGAGGAAATACATTTATTGCTATTGTCTAGTTCTTAATTTCTTCTTTTCTAGCAAGACCAGGGAGAGAAAAGGTTAGGGAGAGACTCAAGTGAGTCTCAAATGATAGTAGGAGAAAGGAAAAAAGTCATGCTTTGATATTAGGTGTAACAAAACTCTGGTCTGTAAACCCCTGGTGATTAAAAATGACTACCAGATTTGCAAACAGCTGCCACAGTTTCTAAATATATGGGTGACACTGCTTCTCAGATAACACCGTACAGTAATTGTTGACAAGTGCTCGCTTTTAAAGTAGTAACTATCTGACAGTGTTTTAAGTTTTCAGGGGATTTTATCATTCACAGCCCATGAATGAAAATAATCTAAAATAGTAGCATCATTGACGAACATCTCAAGAGAATTAGGATCATAGGGGATTGTATTTCTCAAAGACTTTCCTAAGCAACTATTCCACACACGTTCCCTCCTGACAGCAGGAAAAAAAAAAAAAAAAAAAAAAAAAAAAGATACCCCCCCCTCACTCCAGGCCATTCTCCAAGGTCATTTTTAACAGACATTTTGGCAGCAAGTCCAGGGTTCCTTTTCTTAAAGAGAAGTTCTAAATTGCTGAGGAAAGCTGGTATTGAATTACTTCTTTAGAGGGTGGGCTGCAAGATGATGATTTTATATAGCCTGCCACGTTATCCACTGCGAGCTTGGAAAGGGCCAGAAACATCTGGTTAGAGCAGTGCCAAGATCTCAACAGCTGAAGGCCTTAAACTCGCCCCCAGGCAGGCAAGTGCTGACTTGACGGCAGCTTGTGGGGGTAAACACCACTCTTGCAGGAGCATGTGTGACAGTGGCGAGAATTCAAGAAGGGGCACGTATCACCAGCACGATAAAAGTCAGGCTCTGGTACTAAGCCATGTCTTTGCTGACTCTTCGAAAGACAATATCGGGGTTTTTTTAAGAGGGAACTGGGAAGATAGCCATATTAAAAATTCACAGGAACTTGCCTTTGTCACTTTCTGACTGTCCTTCAGTGCTCAGCTATTAAGCAGACCACGGTATTTGAATTCAAAAGCATCCTTCCCCTCAGACACAAGGGGGCATTTCAGCGCTCTGAAGCTATTCATAATACAGCCTGTAATGCTGAACCACAGAACTGATCGGCAGTTTAGGAAGAATAGGAAACCAAGGCATAGAACGTTTTCCCTGAAAATTTAGTTTCAGCATTTCTACAGCTACCTGTTTTTAAAGTTCCTGCACGAGCTTATTCCCACCACTTACAGTATTTCCAGTGGCAAGGCAGGAAACAGGAAAGGGACATATTCCCTCAATCGAGTCACAGCCCCCATTATCTCAAACTCATTTTCCATTCTGAGTGTTTCCATTTCTCCTCCTCCCCTTTCAAAACAAAAGCATAAAGACTCCTTTTCTCTACCAGCAGACCGAAATTCATTCAGTCCTTCATTCATAACTCTACGCCTGGGACCTACTTCTCTCTTCTTCACGCATTTATAATAAAACCTCAGGGAAGCTCCTGAGTACCAAAACGTTGTATTGCTGAAATCCGCTTCCTCGCCTCTTGCCGTTAACTCACAGTGAATGTGAACCAGTTTATACCATTTAAGTCTGGCACATAAAAGCCTGTAGACCAGCCTTTCATTACATAGCAAGCAGTCAGGCATGCAAGTAGTCTTCATCAGTATTTCCCCTTTTGAAATGGGGGCTGGGAAAACGAGCGTAAAATAAAACCACCACAAAACCAGCCCCAAAACACAAGAACCACCCCACTCCCCCTGAAAATTTCAGTTCCAGATTCCATTCAGCTCACTACGATCTTAAAAGTGGGTATCCCCAAACTTCAGTTCCCAGGAAAAAAAAAAACCCAAAAAAAAACCAACAAAAAAACCCACGAGATTTTGTGACATCTACGCACAGCCTACACGATGAAGTTACAGTTTCTGTGAAAGAGCTGATTGGCGCTACTTAGATGGGGATAAAAGACACTCTGGGGCATGACACTGTGGGAAGATTTATACCTAAGTAGGCCTTTCTCCACAAATTAACTAAGGAAGCTTTCAAATGTCTGAAACGGCAACAATTTAATGTTTCACAAGTGTCAGACAGAATCAGAACAAGTTTTTAAGACGAAGCAAGTTTTGCAAGTGGAAAAGACGCAGGGTATAGGACAAAGTTCTTCGCGAAAGCTAAAATCATATGCTATGTTAAAGTGTTTCAGTTACAAGATTCAGAAGTAGTAACGACAGGATGTGTCAAGAACAAAACAGAATAAAGTGTTGGCAGCTCTTACAGCTCTAACATTGCTTCTCTCAGACCACGCTTTGTTTTGCAGCAAATTTCATAGTATAAAAATTAGAGAATGTCATAAGAAAAAGGGGTATGACCAGTTCAACATTTATGTTTTCGGAAAACGATCAGGAAGGGTTTGTTGAGCATCACAAATACCACTATTCTCCAAACAGATGACTCCTGAGAGTTCAGTGGTAGCACTCCGGGGATACGTCTACATGGGAAACTGCAGGGGAGCAGACCATACTAAATTATTTGCTGCAGGTGGATCGCCCCCGATATCCAAGCCAGCTCATTTCCAGAGCTAACTGGTATCCTTAAACTACGCTATACTACATGCGATTAGCTTTTGCCTATTAAAACCAGCTAAAGTCTTCCATTTGCTGCATGAACTTACCTCATCGCACCCTCGCAGCAGACTGGAGCTCAGCAGCTGGTACGTCTAACAAAAGGAGCAGGTAACGCCATTCGTTGGGTTTTTGCTCTCCCCACCACCCCAAATCCCCATGCTTATGAACACCGTACTATCAACATATACAACTACTGATACCAAATAAAGTTCTTCCAGAGTGCAGCTAAGTACCAACGGCTCAGAGAGGCTAGGTGACTACGGTACCATAATTTACACATAGTGTACTTTCAACACCCAGGAATATAGGACTAAGTTTTAGCCAAGTAATATGTTTTGGATTTTTTTTTAATTTCTAAAAAGGCTCCCTATATACCCTTCTTGTACAAACATAACCACTGAAAAAGTAAGCTTACATGCTTAGAAGTTCTCTGTAGGAACACAAGTTTTTAGAAAATACTGCGTGCAGAACATTCACAGCCTTCTACGGGCTTCCAAAGAGGTTACTTACTTGCAAAGTCAGTACACACACACACACACACACAAAAGATTACCAACAGCTTCTATTTTAAGGCAACCTCAAGCTGTGTCGTTACAAGTGCATTTTGTCTCACACGCTGCTGAGGACCTACAGATGTTCCCATCTGAGGTGTGTCCACATTTGGAATCTGTCAGTATACAATCTACTTGGACGATGTTTGTTTGTTTTTATTTAAGGCCTCATCTACTTTTTTTTTGGCTTTTTTTTTAAATAAAAGTATTGCATTTCACTCAAAAATCAAAATGCAAAGTATGAGAGAAAGATGTAGTGAAAAATTCCTTGCGTTTGCTTAGACAGAGCAAGAAGCTAACCTGGTGCACCATGGAGTTGAGAGAACAGCTTTGCTAGTTCTTCAGTGGTTTCCAGCTACACAAAGGAATTTCTTCCAAGTCAGACAGTTGTGCGAGGTGACCACTAACATCAGCCCAGTTTCCGTTAAGCCATCATTTTTTCTAGTGTCTACAAGAAGTTTATTAGAAGCAAGTTTTCACTCGCAGGAGATAGATGCATATCATTAAATACACCTGAGATGGAGCAGTCTTGTTTTCAGTATAAATTGACAAGGTTTCAGGTACTGGGATTTGTAAAGAGAGTCTAAAGCTCATTCTGTGAACTGCACCGAAACGACAGGACAGTTCTTTACACAGCTTCACCTAGTAAAAAGGTATTTTTTCTAATAAGGCATTAAATTAGTTTACTCTTTATGATCCCTTCTGCCATGTTGTCAAACCTCCTCACTTCTATCTCCCACTCTCATTTCCAATTTCTGCACACCTCCAGTTCTATTTGCTCCAGTCTGCACTGGGAGAACGCAGTCATCGATAGTTTACAGGCTGCCTGCACATACAGTTTCATGACCAAAACTACCTGGGTACGTCCAACAATGCTGTTCCACAGCTGAAGGATCCTTAGGAGGAGGATGTGGAAACCACTGAGAACAGTAAATGGCATCTCATCATAGCGATGGTACGGCAGAGATTACCAAGTTTCTACGTTCACATTTTAGTCCAAAACTGCAAGAGACTTACAGTAAATGAATATCCAAATATGTATTATCCCTTCAGATACACTCACTCACTTCTATAGTTATCAAGTGTAACATTTCACCAGATACAAGGCTTCAATCTAGGCTCTAGTAAATCTTCATACTCTGTGCTAGCCAAGCTTCTTCTGTCCTTTTCAGATGAAATAGTTACTTGCACAGCTCTTTAGAAGATAAAGTGTCTAAGACACATGGCTTCTCACGGTCCAAATCAGCAGATTTTAATGCCACTGATGTAATACTCTGGAGGATCAAGTATGTCTCAGTTTTGGTTTTAGTCAGACTTATCCTTTTTCTTTCCTGTTAAAGGCACTTTACTTGCAACAGCAGATCCTACAGCTGTAACACCTCCAGCCACAGCAGAAACACTTCCTTTGACTAGCCCCACTCCCATTGAAGGCACAGATGTGACCGCTGTTTTGGTAATTTCCAAACTCTTCCCTCCAATCCAAGCAACACCCCCAATTGTGGCACCAACAGCTCCTTTCGTGACACTGAAGAGGCCACCGGTCACACGAGAAAGCATGCCAGGCTGCTGCTGCGGGTGGTCTTTTAACGAACCTAAGGGAGGAAAGAACAAGCGGATCAATCCCAGTGCTACGATCAAAGCATTTTCAAAAGAAAAAGTTATTCGTAAGTATTTCCTTTTCTAGCCTAACAGCCATGGCGCATACTTACCTCGTAGGTTACTCTTCTTGCATGCTCATGCGCCATCATAGTGCCAAATAAGAAAAGACACTTTGCTGCAGCGAGACATACCTCAGTGCTGTTTGCTAAAACACAAGTCAATACCGAGCCTACAAACATCAGGCATACAGCTCCCAGATGGTCTCACGTGATAAATTTTTGTCCTCTGTCTGTGTGCAACCACCTCCTTCCCAGACTCTGAAAAGTCTCATGGCCAAAAGAGCCTCATTTCTGGACCTTATTAAGGAGGGCAGGGGGGGAAGGGGACAATGACACAACCTCGTGTTCCCCCCATCCTAACATTAAGAGTTAACCCACAAACAGGGGGGACCCCCAAAAGCAGCAGCACTGTCTTGCTGTTCAAATCTCTGAGGGTGGACTGAAAAAATTTTCTTGGAGAAACAGACCCAAAGGTTGATCAAAAAAAAAAAAAAAAAAAAAAAAAAAAAAAAAAAAGCTGTTTTTTTGAAAAGAGCTCATGTGGAGACCAAGCTGTTTCTTTCCTTAATAATTACTGTTTCACAGATGTGTTTACAAGGATTGTGCACCGGGGTCAGGAAAGAGGGAAAGAAGGAAAGAATGAAAGCAGTCAGAGGAGCGAGAAGACAAAACTGATGCCAACTCTTCACTGTATCACTTCCTTTCTTCATCATGTACACAAATTAGTTTTCTTCCAAAAAGGCCTTTTCTGTAATTTGGATAGGGAAGGGGAGGGAAGGGAGAATCCCATGGCCAAATAAGCTCATTAAATACCAAAAGTGGTCCCCAAAGGCATGAACAATAGCAAGAGTTACAGGCTCCCAACAGAAGCCCCAATATGACGCACAAACCCAAGTCTCAAACCAGGTTACTGACCACATAAATGTGGTGGTTTTTTTCTTTTAATGTTATGTTTAACCTGCCCTCTGTGCAGTTTCTTGCTATATGCTGTATAAGTCAATTCCTATTCCATATTTGTGGTACAGTTACATAGCCTCAAAATAACAGAAAAAATTAGAATAATAGAAAGACTCCCAGAATTAGCCACTTAGACTTCCAACAGTTTAGTATTACTTCGTATTTCAAAACGTAGGATTCAAAAATGCCTCTAAAGGGAACTAAGGCAACTCCACGCCCCACTACTGCATAAGCATCATCTCATCTTCAAAGAAGAAACAGGAAGATGAAACAGTATGTTAATGTGCAATTTAAGCACACAAGAAAATATCCCCCACTGCACCTATAAGCCAGTAGCCCTGACACCTGTTTGTCTGCAAGGTATTTTCAATGTGAACCTTGAGAAATCTCTGGTCCTCACAACAATGGCGTACAGGCAAGCATTTTTTCAGCTCCTGTCTTGTCAATTCCTCACCAACCCCAAACACTTTGTAAAAAAAAGTTTCATAGAGAACCATGGCAAGTGACAGCCAGCTAACAGAACTAGGGTGAGAGTTCCACAGTTTTTTGTATTTTCTAGCTACCTGTAGATAATACATGGGATTTAACAGACATGTTTCCCTTTCTTAGGGAAAAACGACTGGGGGAACTAAGAAAAGGGCAAATGGAACCACAGTGGGGCAGTGCCAGGGAAGAAACAAACATGAAATAAAGAGATGAGGGAGTCAGCAGCAGAAAGAACATGCTTGGAAGAGGATGATGAGTCTAGAGAGAGGGGGAAAAAGAAAAAACAGATCTAGATCCACCAGAGACTTAGATCCAGCCCCTATCAAGGCATTTGCTCCGCACTGTGACGTGCCTTAGAGGAACCAGCAGAACAGGTCTCTGCTTCCAGCACCCTGACTGCTGACAACTCACATTCAGAAGACAGTTTCCAAGAGTCACCTCCCAGCACTCATCCACTACAAGATGAAAACCAGGGTGAACAGCTTCCCATGCACCTCTGATGAGTCTCGTGACATGCCAGGACTGACCCAGCACTCAGAATTCATCAAAAAAGTGTGAACTTCAGAGTTCCTACATGCGTGCCCCAGAATAATTCAAACAAGAGACACTATTTAAATGAGAGAATTTCTTACAAGTTTTTATTGCTGGCCAATTTCTATCCTAAGATATGCATGTCTGGTCTCCTTGTTTCTAACCAGCATGAGAAAGAAGCTAAACCAGATCATTCCTAAATCTAGGGAGAAAATGACACAGAAAAAAAGCACAAAGAGGAACAGTGCAGTTCAAGGGAGCAAGAAATACTAAAAATGCTTCCAGCTTGCACTACTTAAGACATTGATATAGATAACAGAATGGGTCATGGAAACTAGAAACATAAATTACAGCTTTTTACTTAAGTGAAGCAATACCCTTGCTGGTTCATTCTGGGCCAGTAGCTTTCAACCTGGACATGTCCAGCAAAAACATGAGCACATAGAGGTCAGAATTTCTATTTACATACAGAAAGCCTTTAAAGAATCACACTCAGAGAGGACTATAGACAGCCTGGTATAAAATCCACTATCTAGGTATTATTCATTAGAGGATTCTTCTGACCAGACTTACACACCCTGTAAAAAATTTGGTCAGAAGGTAGTTAAATTCCACCTAACTGGATCACTGTCATCAGGGTGAATGGGAGTAAAGTTTTACCACACTGAATTTTAAGAGCTGATTTTAGTAAATCGGACCTGATATTAGCAAGAAAGGACCCATCATAGCCAACTTAAACAACACGAGAGAAGCAAACAAAAGTAATCCTGACATGCTTTTCCTCACATTACTTCAGGTAGCCAATCCTTTGACAACATCTACTCTATTTCATGAGTGTAAATACTGACTGTGACTCGGTGTATTAATAACGTCTGGTGATGGCCGACACATTCCCATTTCATTCCTGTTTGCATTGTCTATTAGATCTAGGAAATGCCTGCAGCTGCAGAGAGTTTTTATTGCCAGTTGATTTCCATTCTAGGATACTCATTCCTGGTCTCCTTGTTTCTAACCAGCATGAGAAAGAAGGTAAACCAGATCATTCCTAAATCTAGGGAGAAAATGACACAAGTTCCCTGTTCAGGGGTTGGCCCTACCATGCTACCTTGCAGCCAGCTGCCTGCTGAAAAGAGTCCAACAGCGAACAAGAGTTTCAAAGAACGTAGGTTGCAAAGGTTGGCGCCACTTACAAAGCAGAAAATAAAGCATCAGAATAGCACTACTCGTAGAAAGAATGAGCACAAAAGCTTCTTCTACATATGTATTTCTTTAAAGCCTTTGGGTACCAAGCTTGTCGAGTGCACGTTGGACAAACTGGAACTATTTACATCTTTATGAAAAACTGCAAATTGATTTTGGAATTGAGCCTTTCCTCTAAGGATTTTTTTTTTGGCAGCCTGTTTAGAGAGACTCTCTTCTTGCCAACATTGAACTGGTAGCCTTCCATCCACATTTGGCCATCTTTCTATGACGGGGTAAGCGTATCACATATGAAGGCCTTGTATGACATGTAAAACAGGGATGTTCAAGGGTATGCCAACATTTTAGCTAAACTCATAAGGCTTGAAGAATGCACGTGAAAGAGTCAAAAGGAAAAAGCCTCTTCAAGGATGAGGTTTCCATTAAAACGAGTGGTGTTTCATTCTACTCCCTCTAACTACACCAGCTTTCTCCATCTAGTTAGACTTCATATTCAAGCTGGTTATTGTCATACTGAAAGATACCGTGCAGGAGAAAGTCAGTCTCAGTTGCTCACAAATTCTAAATAAAACTTTGCAATACCTAGCAATGATCAGACTCTGCTGTTATGCTCTGAATCTGGACAACCTACTGAATATTCCAGGATGATAAAAAATGGCCACTTGTTTCACTGCCTTACTCAAGAAAGAATCGGTTGTAGTTTACCAGTCAGACCAGTGTTCACTTCCTATATGTGAGGTTTAACATGCATAAAACACAATTCAATCTTTAAGGCAAAATAAAAAAAAAAAAATACTAAAAAGACAGATAAAAAAGCACCTTAACAATTAGATTTGAAGATAATACATATTAGGGAAAAATTTGCAACCTGGCATTTGCTTTCAGAAATGCTTCTGGGATCTTGACAACACCGTAAGGGCTTAAAAAGAAAGGGTTTTGTCCTCACACCACGATACTGATACAAGTTCAACTATAGTAGAGATTAAGAACCACTGTGCCGGGAAAATCTATTTCTCCCTTTCCTCTCATCTTCTTGTACTTGTGTTCCCTGTCTAATAGTTGTTAAGAACAGAGTGAGCTATTCCACTTCAACCCCTTCTGCTACAGTTAGTGGATAATACTGTTGTTCAAGTGAAGTAAATTGTTCAGTTATACACCTTATAAAAGCTGAAAAAAAACTCCAACAAACAAAAAGAGCTTTAAAGGGCCACTATAAATTGAAGTGCAATGAACCAAGAGGAATCCGGACTCACCAACCTCTACATCCAACACATATGGTCTTAAAGCAAGAGATGACAGAATACAGACAACCTGTGTGCCAAGAACGGCTTTTAATCTAGTATGCATCCAGTCACATTATGAAAACAGGACTCTTCACAGTCCTGCCATTCCACAGCCCAGAAGGTAACTCTGCTCATTTGCAACTGCATTTCCTCTGCAGATCTAATAACCAATTTAAGATTCATTTGGTTCAGGAGACCCAAGATGTCACTGCATTAATGAAGTCAATTGTGTGCTTGTTTTTATGAAACCATGAGATTAAGTCAACAGTTAGAACCACAGTTAATTGCATGATGGAAAAGGGTCTCCAAAAATAGTAATAAAATTCTGTATATTTTTAAATGCATCTTGTTTAGAAGTCAAAGGCACTATGAACTCAGCAAGGTGTCCAAATCACGAAGCTGGGCTCTTTCCGTCTCACATAATGAATGGCAGAAGTAACAAACAGCAGAAATAAATACCCATCGGACCAATTCACATCTCTGGAAACTAATCTGCAAATTATGTCCTGCAGTATCTGCCACCTTCTCTGTATTTTATCACTACAGTTGTTTACTGAGTTATATTCAGTGGCCTTATTAGAAACAGGATCATGGAGAAGTGAACAATAATCCAGGCCCATCCCATCCCAGGGTTGGCCTGCTTACTGCTACTTAGATGAAAGTTAAGTGTTCAGCTTGCAGATGCTTTTTTTTTTTTTTTTAAGGGAGAACTGAACTTCTGATGAATTTCTATGAATTTACTTCGTACTATGAAAACCAATACATACCTTCTGGTGGTTCATCATGAAGGTACGATGGGACTTCCTGTTGATTTTTGTCCGTTTGATTCATTATTGCCTAAAAAAGAAATTCACATAAGCTATACATCCTTTCCAGCAAAGCATAAAGGTCAACTACATGAATTTTGGATTCATAGATTAAGTTCCACAGAAACAGAACTTCCTTTTCATACTAGATAAGCAAGCAGCTCCTGCCAAACTACTGCTCTTATTATTATCAGACTGTGCTTTTGCATTCTTCAACCAGACTCAATGCTTGAAAAAGGAGCCCTCCACCAGGTCAGCAGGTTTGGTGAGGGATGCCACTCCACACCAAGTGGATCTCAAACCTAAAAAGCCATCAGGAAGAAAACCAGTATGATAATAAAACAGCCACTGCCATACAACAGCTTACGTAGTAAAAAAGAAAAGCCTGGTGATCACAGAGGTGGGTGGGCACTAGAAAAACAACAGCAGCATGCCTGTAAGATCTGTTAGCACCTGGAAAGCAGTAGTGTAAAGAAACAAGTCCTTGCAGCAGAATTAGAATAATTTCCATGGAAACAAGGTGGAAAAACTGTAATGAAAACACTCCAGTTATCTTGTAGCAGTATTGCATACAGAGTGGTGACAGCAGGAGAACGAGACTGTTTTAACTCTACACAAGCTTTCCAATGAAAACATTTTGGAAAGGAAAGTTCTTTACACCAAAAGCTGTTTCCTAGAGCAGATCTAGAGCAGCAATCCCTGACGCTGAGGGGAAGCACAGGAGAGAGCTCAAATCAGCAGCTCTGCTTACTACATTTTTTCCCTTTGGAGGGGAAGAATGCAGTATCTAGTCCAGGTTTCCCTCCTGCACCAAGGTGTGCCTTGGTGTTAAGTCCCGCCTCCTCCCCCAAGCCCTCCTGCCAATCCTGCTTTCCCTCCTCAGCAGGCACTGGAGGCGAAAGGAGAAAGAAAACCAAGTTGCATTATACCACTCAGCATCCTTCTACCTTCTTGCCAGTGACCTCTTAGCTCCCTTCTCCCTGCACATATACGCAAGCCTTTAAATCATTTAATTTCTTCCAGGAGTCACCAACCACCACAAAAATCATTCCAGCCTCTTCTTGCCATGCCCAGATGTCCCCATAGCTCCTCTGGGTGAGAAGAGTGACTGGGATCTGAAGCGGGGACGAGGAGGCAGAAGCAGAACTTGAGGGTGGGAAGACTCACCTAGAAGATGGCTATTGCTAAACCCCTCACAGTATAATTATGAAGTCAAAACATGAAAGTAAAAACCGACACCCACACACTAAATGATAGAACTTTGGATGCAAAGCAAGCCTAAATTGAATATTAAAGAGTCCTCACAATCAGCACTAAGGGTATCAGCTCACGACTCAGAAAACATGGGTACCTTTACACAAGAAGCTGAACAGGAAAGCAAGCAAAAAACCCTACTACCAGGATGGCTGACTTGATAGCAGTGCTGCACAAGTACCTCTCAAAAGCCAGAAACACAAATGAGGAAGCTAAGAAATAGGAAAGCGAGTAGCAACACCTTGAGACAAAAGACTAAATACATGAGGGCTAAAAGGCAATTGGAAAGAGTATCAGTTATACAATTCCCTGTTCTTGTATTTAATCACAGGTCAGTAAGTCAAGGGCAGGGGAAGCCCAACTGGTCACAGGTAGCAACTGCGGGCAATCAGGTTCTGTGAAAGCACTGGATTCCGATACTAGGCGATTTCTTTGCATTCATCTAATACAAGCCGGAAGAAATGTAAAAGATTTTGTCCTCACTGTGTTAAGTAGTTACATGTTGGTTGTTGCTTTTTTCCAACCTGAAACAAAAATATCAAGCACTATAAAGAAAGAGAAGGCAGACACTGTAAGAATCTGACAGGCCTGACGTTATTTTATCAAAACATCTGTACAAAACTGTACTAACTGTGTTCCCACTGAACATATGGCCATTTTGTTCATTAAGATGATTACTGTATCAGGAATTTGGAAGGAGTTTTTTGTTTGTTGCATTAGGGAAGGTCCTAAAAATAAAATAAAAAAAAAAAAAAAAAAAAAAAAAATCACAACCTAGCAAGCCTTACTTCAAACAAAGGGATAAAAAAGTGACCAAAACAGTTTTAAAGCAGACTCAAGGGAAACACAAATTAAGTAAGCCAGAAATACATTAAAATTTTTATGAAGAACTACCTCCGCTAATATATTTGTACCTAGCCTGCACATAACTCGCAAAAGAAACACAGATGCAATTGCTCGTTTGAGCATCCAAGAAGTTTGTCAACAATTCCTTGCAAGAGGCTCCAAAAATTTATTTAAACTTAGGAGGTAAAACACTGTCAGAGATTATCAACAAGTTTAGAGGGGAGTTGGAGCAAGTTACCAGTTTTGAACATTGCAGAACACTGAAAAGCGTCACAAGGCTCCACACAAGTTTTACTATATTCCACTAGTAAGAAGCTATGGAACACCACAGCACCGACAGCAGATACAGGCCCAGTGAAGTACCAAAGCTCTCTTGTGCTAGGCATCATGTAAGTACTTAATTAAGATGAGACCTCTCCAATGGAAAGGATCAGAGCAAGACTGGCAAACAGATAGCGCAGGACAAAGATTCTGTTGTAACTTTCCGTAATCCAGGTTGGGCCACTGTCAGATTTGCTTGCAATTCCTGCAAAGCTAAATGAGCAAAGCAATGTATTGGCAGAGGAGTTCCACAGCAGAGTTTCTAGTTCAGTGATAAAGAATTTGAAAGTGTAAAAACAAAAAAAACCCAACCAACCAAACAAAAAAAAGCACAGTCCTACATAAAAAATAGTGACAAGATTAGGTATTCCCTCCCGTACTACCTTCTGCAGAACCTCAAGGTTACGTAATACTTGACCACAGCTACTTTTAAAAAAAGTTAGACAGGAATATTATGCAATATATCACTCACATGCAATGATTTAACACACAACTCCTTCTAAACCACAGAAATACTTCACTCTTACAACTTCACGGACCCCAGTGGTCTGCTGCTAGCCGATCCCAGAAGCCAATGAAGGACTACCCGGGCCTGAGA